CCGGGCGCCCAGACGGCCAAGGCCCGGGGGCGGCCCGGCCGCCCTGCGTCTGTTCGGAACGGCGTCCTGCCCGCCCCTTTCACAGCCGGTCGGCTCGAAACGTCTCCTCCACCGAGGGGTCCAGCAGGCCCATGCCGGGGTCACTCAGCATGCTGAGGCTGTCCAGGCCCAGGGGCTCCATGTGGAGCTCGTCCTCCAGGGGACACGGGGCGCCCACGCTCAGGCCGGCCTCGGGCACGGCCGCCGGCACGCTGCCCAGCTCTCTGAACAGGCCGGCGTGCGGGTCCTCTGCAGGAGCAGACGCCGGGGTCAGGAGGCGAGCGAGCGGCCCCGAGGACTCCCGCTGGCCCTGCGCGTCCTCTCCCACCCGCCCCGCGGGGCGCGTCTCAGCCGGGCCCACACTGCGGGTCACTGCGGGCCCCTGGGCGGCACCGCCGAAACCCGGACGTCGCACAGAGCGGCGCGCCCACGCCCTCGCTGCCACCTCTGGGTCTCCAGACCTGGACACCGGCAAGGTCCGGCCCGGCTGGCCCTTCGTCATCGGCCAAAGTTACCACGCCGCAGCGGGAACGCTGCAGAGTGAAAGCGGTAAAGCCGCCGGCCCCACTCACCTGCCAGAATGCTGTTCTGGAAGTTTCCGCAGCTGGAGTACAGGCTTGGACGCAGGCGGAATGGGTCCTGGGCTTCCTGGGGGCCTTGCTGGGCCAGGGGCACCTGGAGGCATTGACGGGGAGCTGCAGCCGAGGGGCGGCTGGGAGGGGCAGCGCCGGGCGCCGGCTGTGCCGAGAGGGGCTCTGTCCCTCCCTGGCTGGCCCCACGTGCCAGCGCCCCACGGGGAGGCGGGGCACGCACCTGAGGGGCGAAGGCCGGGCCCGGCTGCAGGGGCTGCTGGTCAAAGTTCACGTCAGGGAAGAAGCTGGTCACGGGCGAGCCCTTCGGGAGGGACGGGGCGGTCAGCGTGGGGCTCGGGCCAGCGGCCGTGCCCCGGCCTCTTCCGCAG